ATCAGAGGGTGTCAACATAAATGTTTACAATTGTGGAGGAGACTACCAAGATAATGCTCGTCTCGCTCAAGGGAAGAAGTGCTATGAATGTGGAAAAACTAGGTCATTTTGGTGCTATGTGTCGTTTTCACTAAATATACCAGTCAGTGAATGAACTGTACTGTACTGATCCTCGTACAGTACGAAGATCAGGTCTTAGGGGTCGAGGTGGTAAACACAATATTGCACCTCATATTCAGTATGGTAATAATGTACAAGACAACATGTCATTACAACCAATCTCAGATGACAGTGAATGTGATTATAGAGTACAATCAATCACAGAAAGGAATGATCTTCCAAACAACCCAGAGACTATAGTATACATTGCTGGTATTTGTCTCAAAGTTCTTATTGACACTGGATCAAACATTGACACCATTGCTGAGTGCCACAATGATAAATTTAGAAAACAGTTTCTAAAGCTTGAAAACTACAATGGTAAAGCCACTGTCTATGCTTCAAAGGTAGCCTTGCCAGTGATTGGAACTTTCACTGCAGAGATCGTCAGAGTGGAATGCTCACTACTACAATCCATGTTGTTAAGAATGCAAAGGAGTCTCTACTCAGTTACAAGACTTCAACCAGACTGGAACTACTACAGATTTCTAATGCTGTAGCAGTGGAATCTACAAACATTGTTGATGCAATTGTTACTGAATTCTCTGATCGATTTAAATCCATAAGTTGTTATACTGATAGCAAAGTTCATCTGCACATCAACCCAGATGTAATTCAAGTTGTCGAGGAATATATACACTCTGCAGCCTATGCTGCAGTCCCTAAGGCTCTCACTCTTGATGAAATCCGTACTGCAACCCTAGAGGACCCAACTCTGCAAGCAACAGTGGATGCATTGACTAAGAAAAAGTTTCCACGCATCCCACCCTCAGGAGGTGACCAAGATGGATTCAAAGCACTTGAACGCATCCAGACAGAATTAAGTGTTACGCAACAACGCGACACCGTGCTGCGAGGTACTCGTATCGTCATTCCAGCTGTTCTCCAGCAACGTGCTCTGAAGCTTGCACATCAAGGACACCAAGGTCTTGTTAGGACCAAACAGCTGCTACGAGAAAAGGTGTGGTTTCCTGGCACTGATCGTCAAGCAAAGGACATGCATGATGCCTGTGTCCCTTGCCAAGCTGCAGTGGATACTTCAAGACCAACACCTCTACAACCTTCACCACTACCTGCTGCACCATGGACGGAAGTATCGATGGACTTCTGCGGACCGCTACCAACTGGAGAGTACTTGATGGTGGTCATTGATGATCACTCACGTTATCCAGAAGTAGAAATCATCACTTCCACATCTGCAAAGACTCATCCCGAAACTCGACAAGATCTTTTCAAATTTTGGCATTCCTGAAGTTGTCAAGACGGACGATGGACCGCCATTCAATGGACAAGACCTCGTCAACTTTGCTGAGCATATTGGATTCAAACACCGCCGTGTGATGCCACTACATCCTCAAGCAAATGGAGAAGTCGAGAGATTCATGCAACCTCTCATGAAAGCGGTACGCTGTGCTCATGCCGAAGCACGATCCTGGAAACAAGCTATGTATGCTTTTCTCAGGAACTACCGTGCAACACCACATGGAACACTGGGCAAGTCGCCTGGCGAACATTTATTTGGACGTCCTATAAGGCTCACACTACCTGTCATGCCAGCCGAGGTAACGGATAAACGTCTCGCTGAGAAGGATGCACTAGCCAGAGGGAAAATGAAAATTGCTCATGATCAACGTGCACAGGAACAGTTCATAAAGGTTGGAGATACTGTTCTATTTAAAAAAGAAAAAAATAGTGAAAGCTGGATATGCCGTATGATACAGAACCATATAAAGTGAATAGTGTAAAAGGAACTATGGTAACAGCTAGTAATAGAGATCATAGTATAACACGTAATATGACTTATTTCAAAGTGATTCCAACTAGTGGAAAATGATGACGTGCAAAGTCGTACAAACGATAAAGAAAAATTAGTTATAACCCGACAAACAATTCATCAAGGGATATTAATGTATTTAAGGACTCTCGTCTTAAGCGTCATGTTAAACGCCATAAGCGATTTGATGATTAATTGTGTTCCTATGTAATGCAAAGTATTTACTTATTATGCTAAATTAAATTTAATATTGTTTGAATAATGCAGAACTCTCATTCAATATTTTGTTACTTTGTAATATAGTTTCTTCCATTTTTGTTTAACATTGCATTTGTATTTTAACATTAAAATCCTGTGTGGTAAAGATTAACTGGTTTAAATCTGTGTGTGCTTAATTAATGTAAAATGTATACAACATATTTTGAGATATAATAACTTTCATTGTGTCAATAACTTTGCTTTGTGCTACAAGCATGGTAGAATCTATCAATGCTACAAGCATGGTAGAATCTATCAATGCTACAAGCATGGTAGAATCTATCAATGCTACAAGCATGGTAGAATCTATCAATGCTACAAGCATGGTAGAATCTATCAATGCTACAAGCATGGTAGAATCTATCAATGCTACAAGCATGGTAGAATCTATCAATGCTACAAGCATGGTAGAATCTATCAATGCTACAAGCATGGTAGAATCTATCAATGCTACAAGCATGGTAGAATCTATCAATGCTACAAGCATGGTAGAATCTATCAATGCTACAAGCATGGTAGAATCTATCAATGCTACAAGCATGGTAGAATCTATCAATGCTACAAGCATGGTAGAATCTATCAATGCTACAAGCATGGTAGAATCTATCAATGCTACAAGCATGGTAGAATCTATCAATGCTACAAGCATGGTAGAATCTATCAATGCTACAAGCATGGTAGAATCTATCAATGCTACAAGCATGGTAGAATCTATCAATGCTACAAGCATGGTAGAATCTATCAATGCTACAAGCATGGTAGAATCTATCAATGCTACAAGCATGGTAGAATCTATCAATGCTACAAGCATGGTAGAATCTATCAATGCTACAAGCATGGTAGAATCTATCAATGCTACAAGCATGGTAGAATCTATCAATGCTACAAGCATGGTAGAATCTATCAATGCTACAAGCATGGTAGAATCTATCAATTGTACAAGCATGGTAGAATCTATCAATGCTACAAGCATGATAGAATCTATCAATGCTACAAGCATGGTAGAATCTATCAATGCTACAAGCATGGTAGAATCTATCAATGCTACAAGCATGGTAGAATCTATCAGTGCTACAAGCATGGTAGAATCTATCAGTGCTACAAGCATGGTAGAATCTATCAATGCTACAAGCATGGTAGAATCTATCAGTGCTACAAGCATGGTAGAATCTATCAGTGCTACAAGCATGGTAGAATCTATCAGTGCTACAAGCATGGTAGAATCTATCAATGCTACAAGCATGGTAGAATCTATCAGTGCTACAAGCATGGTAGAATCTATCAATGCTACAAGCATAGATTCCTCGGAAGTATAGTGGTGAGTATCCCCGCATGTCACGCGGGAGACCGGGGTTCGATTCCCCGCCGGGGAGAAATGTTTAAGGGAGCCAGTCGGCCGAGTGGACAGCACACTGGACTTCTGATCCTGTGGTCCTGGGTTCGATCCCAGGTGCCGGCGAGAAACAATGGGCAGAGTTTCTTTCACCCTATTCCCCTGTTACCTAGCAGTAAAAATAGGTACCTGGGTGTTAGTCAGCTGTCACGGGCTGCTTCCTGGGGGGGGGGGTGGAGGCCTAGTCGAGGACCGGGCCGCGGGGACAGTAAAAAGCCCCGAAATCATCTCAAGATAACCTGAGACATCCTATATTCATTATTTTTAAAGAAAAGGAGGGATATCATGTTCATAGCAAACCGGACCATCCGACTGTATGTGCTGCGTTTTATACGCTCTCACAGTTAACAACAGAAGTCTGAAGTCACAGAGTTTCTGAAGTCTGTCATCCATTGTACGCCTAGTTTCACCAAACACCAGCAGCATTGAAAGCAGGAGGAACAGTGCGAACCAGATTACTACGAAGAGTGCTAGTTTGTGGAAAGGTGAGCTTTGTGTCAAGAGGACAAAAGGCATTATGAAGATTTCTGAGTTCAGATATGAAGGGAAGGCACAACATTGTAGTGCTGGAAGCCGGTTTACGATGAAATAAATTTTCCGATCCTGGACGGACCTAAACGTTTCCAATTCCTTCATTTTCAGATAAGTGAGTTTGTTAACTAATTTTCAGCCCCCGTTATTTTCACTTATTGGCAAAAATCTTCTGTTTTAACATTCTCTGTTTGTGTGATGCTGTTTATTATACTAAAATGATGATTAATAAGACAAGCAAATAAGGGATTAATAAGGGAGCCGGTCGGCCGAGCGGACAGCACGCTGGACTTGTGATCCTGTGGTCCTGGGTTCGATCCCAGGCGCCGGCGAGAAACAATGGGCAGAGTTTCTTTCACCCTATGCCCCTGTTACCTAGCAGTAAATAGGTACCTGGGTGTTAGCCAGCTGTCACGGGCTGCTTCCTGGGGGTGGAGGCCTGGTCGAGGACCGGGCCGCAGGGACACTAAAGCCCCGAAATCATCTCAAGATAACCTCAAGAAGAAGCATTGTTAGACCTAGAAGCCCAACATGTTGCTATACGCGCACACCTTCTCTTAGTCTGGTGAAGTTCAATGGCCTATACGTAACTCCAGTTATTAACTATCAATTATCCATTTAAGTCTATACCAAAAGTTTATGTTTATGGAGCAGTTTGGATCTCCTCTTTAACACTACATTTTAAATTTGTTATAACTTATATTAATACTCCACTTTCTCATCTAATAGAATAATGTGTAATAATGTGTATTTCATAATTTTGTATCCAGCTAATAGTTCCCAGATGTTTACATTCATCCACGTATCTTTTAGTGCAATAATGTGTATTGTCTTGTTTCTAATATTTCAACTATTTACCAACATAAATGACATTAAATAACTCACTCTTCACATTAAGTTTCCATTCCCTCTTGTCGCGGTCTGTGAGGGGATGACCATTGAGCTTCCACTGTAAAGCCCCAGCGGCGAGCACCTTAATGCTTCGACAGCGGAAGGTGAGGTCGTCCCCCTCCAGGACCTGCAGGACCTGCAGGTTCTGGTGGCGCTGCGACTCTCCGTTCACCTCCGCCTCCAGGGACACACTCCCGTGCACATATTCACCATCTGCACAACGAAACAATATTGACCTTACAAACTTTTGTACATTTACTACTAATATTTATTTTGTAAGAATTCTTTATAATTTTATTCATCCTTAATTTTACATAATAAAGCAGCATTAATAATTGTTGGAGCATATTCAGGAAGTAGGAAATAAAGCATTGAGTGTCTCACCAGTAACGATGAAGCTGAGGGCTGGAGAGGTAGAGTTGCCGAGCTCGTTGTCGGCCACACACCTGCACCAGGTCACCAAGAATATAACTTTAGTCACTTAAAACAGTTGTTCCCTTAACATCCTTATGGCCTAATATATCAATTACAAATTGTTTTGCCTATTCTTATTTTCTAGCGAATATCCTATCTAACTATTTGTAAATTGCTATGAATGTTGTCCACCACCAGAGACACACATGTGCACATGATAGCACCGCTACACACACACACACACACACACACACACACACACACACACACACACACACACACACCCACACACACACCCACACACCCACACACACACACACACACACACACACACACACCCACACACACACCCACACACCGACGTAGAGTCGAGTCAGCCGCTGAGGGAGGGTCGCGGGTCGCGGGTCGCGGGTCGCGGTCCACAACAATCGTCAATATTCTCTGGTTTATTAAGGCTATAGTGATAGATCACAGATCTAGGGTATCACAACATGTATAACCGCACATAGGAAAGAAAAATACCGTGTTATTACTAGAACTTTGTGTTAAACAGTGAACACTTACAGCACAGGCCACGTGGGAGGGCCACGTTTACATATTACTTTGTTTACATATTGGTCCCAAGGGATACTTGGACTATATTGTACAGTGGCACAGTAAATTAGTGATCTGTAACACAACAGACATAACGATACACTGACTGACTCCAGAGCTTTGTGTTAGAGGAGAACTGCCATCATTTTGGCACTTAGTGAAGCACCACGTGGGAGGGACGAGGATCACATCATCACCACATCTCTGAGTTACGGACACTGGCACTGAACTACAGGCCAGTGTCCCTAACCTGCATACCATGCAAGCTGATGGAGAAGATTGTGCGAAGAAAGCTACTGGAACATCTGGAGCGAAAGAACTTTGTAACACAGCATCAACATGGGTTCAGGGATGGCAAGTCCTGCCTCACAGAGTTACTTGAATTCTACGACCAGGCAACAAAAATAAGGCAAGAAAGAGAAGGGTGGGCAGACTGCATATTTTTGGATTGCCAGAAAGCCTTTGATACAGTACCACACAAGAGGCAACCTGTTCTCGCAAATTCGTAAAGTCAATATTGACTTATTAAATAAGTGCATAGGTGGCATACTAAACATAATAGATACCCTTAAAAAGCTTCATAGAAAACACCGACCTTACCTAACCTTGTTAGTATCTTAAGATAAGCATCTTATTGCTTCGTAATTACAATTGTTACTTAACCTATTATAGGTATAGGTTAAGTAATAATTGTAATTACGAAGCAATAAAATGCTTATCTTAAGATACTAACAAGGTTAGGTAAGGTCGGTGTTTTCTATGAAGCTTTTTAAGGGTATCTATTATGTTTAGTATATCACCTATGCACGTAGTTAATAAGTCAATATTGACTATACGAATTTGCGAGAACGGGTTGCAAGAGGCTAGTGAAAAAGCTGGAGATGAAGGCTGGAGTGAAAGGGAAGTTACTCCATTGAATAAAGGGGTACCTAACCAACAGGAGACCACAAGTCAATGTGAGGGGTGAGGTCTCAGATTGGCGAGAGGTTACAAGTGGAGTCCCGCAGGGGTCAGTCCTTGGACCTATACTGTTTCTGATATATGTAAATGATCTCCCAGAGGGTATAGACTCATTTCTCTCAATGTTTGCTGATGATGCAAAAATTACGAGGATTGAAACAGAGGATGATAGTAGGAGGCTACAAGATGACCTAGACTGAGTGAATGGCCCAACAAATGGTTGTTAAAGTTCAACCCGAGTGAATGCAAAGTGTTGAAACTAGGCAGTGGAAACAGGAGGCCAGACACAGGATACAGAATAGGAGATGTAGTATTTAATGAAACGGACAGAGAGAAAGATCTAGGAGTTGATATCACACCAAACCTGTCTCCTGAAGCCCACATAAAAAGAATTATGTCTGCGCATATGCGAGGCTGGCTAACATCAGAACAGCCTTCAGGAATCTGTGTAAGGAATCATTCAGAATCTTGTGTACCACATATGTAAGACCAATCCTGGAGTATGTGGCCCCAGCATGGAGCTCATACCTTGTCAAGCACAAGACGAAACTGGAAAAAGTTCAAAAGTATGCCACTAGACTAGTCCCAGAACTAAGAGACATGAGTTACGAGGAAAGGCTGCGGGAAATGCATCTTACGACACTGGAAGACAGAAGAGTAAGGGAAGACATGATTACTACCTACAAAATCCTAAAGGGAATCGACCGGGTAGACGAGGATAAACTATTTAACACTGGTGGTACGCGAACAAGGGGACACAGGTGAAAACTGAGTACCCACATGAGCCACAGGGACGTTAGAAAGAACTTTTTCAGTGTCAGAGAAGTTAACTGATGGAATGCATTAGGCAGTGATGTGGTGGAGGCTGACTCCATACACAGTTTCAAATGTAGATATGATAGAGCCCAGTAGGCTCAGGAATCTGTACACAAGTTGATTGACAGTTGAGAGGCGGGACCATAGAGCCAAAGCTCAACCCCTGCAAGCACAAATAGGTGAGTACATGCACACACACACACACACACACACAAACACACACACACACACACACACACACACACACACACACACACACACACACACACACACACTGACCATACCTCCAATCTCTTACCCTCCTCCTCCTCTTTCCCCTAAGCATACAAAAATATATATCTTTTGTGCCTCTCCCCCCTTTCTCCCTATATCTCTCCCTCTAAACTCCCCATACACACACACTCCCCACACACCACACCACACTCTCTCTCTCCCCTCTCCCTCTCCCTCTCCCTCCCTCCCTCTCCTCGCACACACACACACACACACACACACACACACTGGATTGGAGAATTGGAATACGAAACAAAAACATGGGAGGGAGAAGACGAAACAAAGAGAGGAGAAGGAGAGGGAGAGGGGATGGAGGAGAGGGAGAGAGAGGGGAGTCTCCTCTCCCCTCTTTCCCTGAAGGAGTCTCGCTTCAGGAGATATTCTATCAAATGTTGGGAGAAATCAAATAGGAACTAAGGGTAATGGGGGAAAAGGTAGCCAACTTGCAGGATGAACTGAATGAGGCAAGGGAGGAGATTAAAAGCTTGAAAGAGAATCCCCAATATCAGACATGAACCATCTCTCAGGAAGATGGTACTGTATCTGTAGAAGGGACATCTACAGTACAACCCTCATTTGCAGACATACTTAGAAGGACTATAAGTTGTCTCTGCAATAAAGGAAATTGCCATGAAAGTTGCTACTTCTCAGGAAGCAGTAAGATGCACTAGCCGACTGATAGATAGGAAAAGAGCAGTAGTCGTAGTAGGTATTAGGAAACAAATAGGGGCTAGTCCAGGGGTGAGGAGAGATGTGAACAAAGCCACAGTCAAAGAGTACCTTGAAGGGGTACAGATGGAAGGAAAAGCACAGAATATAGAAAAGGTTTTCAGGCTTGGCGGTACAAGGACAAAGACTGATTGATAAAAGTGGTTTTCAGAAGTGAAGACACAAAAGAAATAATTCTAGCAAAGAAGAGCAGCCTGTTCAATGTACATAAGTTCAAGAAGGGATTCCTGCAGAGGGATATGACCAGGGAGGAGAGATTGAGGGCAGCAGCAGCAAGGAAGGAGTGCAAGGAGAGATGCAGGAATCAGGGAACCACTGTTGGAAAGTTTCCAACACTAATACATCATTATTGAATTATAATACATGATTATTGTGTTAACCCCTAGTAATTACTAACACTACTAATATGTAGAATTAATTCAATTAATGTTCCTATTACGAAGCAATATTTGCCAAATTCTTCCTACAGTCAGAATAACGCCGAGAGGACCGACAGATAAAACATTAATCTCTCCACATTTAGTTATATCTAAACGGAGTTTAGTTAATTACATTCCTTTATTAAATATAATCGTTTATTTTGTTGATTATTTACATAGCATATTACTGCTTACTGAACTCGTTCATTGAGGTGTATTAATAACTACATTGGACATTATTATCGTCTAAAACGATTTATATAAAATTTCTTAATGCAGTCTTAATATGCTGACTTGCATTGTGCAAAAATACATTGCATCTTAATACATTTATTAGTAACAAACATTTGTCACAAGTTCTTACTTCATTGTTTAATTATAAGTAAAATAATATACTTTACGCTCGAGAATACTTTGAGCGGGCTGCGCATGCGTAATGCAGCCAGGGAAGGAGACGCCATTCCTACTGGAGACGCCATATTAGCAGCTTGTGACGGAGAAGCATTGCCCAGTGAGGCGTGTTCTGAACAGCGCCTGCGCCCACCATTACGGCCATTGCGTTTAATTGGCCTGAAGATCAGTCATTGCCATTAATTGACCAAGGGTGCATTATACTCTTGCTCTGAGAGGCGGCGTCTCAAGCACAGGGCTCCGCGAGGTGTGCATATGCAAGCGGCAGCCATTACATCAAGATCACGTGGGCATCAGTATCACATACTGCTCAATTACGCGTCTACGAAGATAGTCACGTCCCGCAATTAATCGTCCACAGCAGTGAAGGTCAGGGACTAGCAGCCGTGATATTGGCTGGCCAAAGTGTTCCAACATGCCCACGGTAAGTACACATTGTAGTTTAATGCATCATTCTATAGTTTATTACTGTGGGTAGCCTGTCGTTATAACATCCCCCGACCACAAACACAACGTTAGTTTCTTTCAACGTTATTTTCAAATTTCAGTGAATAATGGAATATATTTCTAGCCTAGTCAAATGTTAGTCAAGTTTCCCTGATCACAGCGTGTAGGGCGAGGACGAACCAGGCATCCCTCCTCCACCTACGGTGTTCACTACTGGTGTTTCCTCCTTATCTGGACTATGTGATCACGCTTAGGAGTAGAGAACAGGTTCAGTGAAGTCTTACAGCTAAGCCATAATTCCCATTTCATAGAATATTTGACCGTTACCATAATTATTTTTAATATGTACCTTTTTATACATATGTTATTCAAGATAAGCCACATAAATCAATAATTTACTGCTCAGTGCTCAATAAGTTGGCCCCTATTATATCCTATGATATGGTAATATTTTATAGATTTGATTATTTATTATATTATGATCTTTTAGAATCTACATTTAATAGATTCCATAATCTTTACTAACATCCTTAATGAACTCATGACAAACAACACTAGTTCCTAGACATATATATATATATATATATATATATATATATATATATATATATATATATATATATATATAAATTTCTAGTAATACCCCCAATGTTTGAGGATTTTAACTCAATTAATTATTACAGTCCATTCATGCTCTTCAAATAATTGCTAAATAATATAACAAACGTAGGCACTGGTTCCACAGTCTTATAATCTCTTAACTTGTTTTCCCTCTTTTCTCAAAAGTGGGTGATCCTTAGAGTATATTAATTTTCTTAATTAAATATTTTTACATTTGAGCTAATGTCCCAGATCCCAAGAAGACACAGGTGGAAATTAAGTGTTCAAATGAGCCACAGAGACGTTACAAATATTTTTTTCAGTGTCAGAATAGTTATTAACAGATGGAATGCACTAGGAAGTGATGTGGTGGAGGCTGACTCCATACACAGTTTCAAATGTAGATATGATAGAGCCCAGTAGGCTCAGGAACCTGTACACCAGTTGATTGACGGTTGAGAGGCGGGACCAAAGAGCCAGAGCTCAAGCAGAACTAGGTAAGTACACACGCATACATATTCCACTCAACCAGAAATTTTTGTGAACATAAAGTCATTGTGCAAACAGAGCACAATATAAGTGTACATGTGCACTTAACTGCCTGCCAGAAATGCTATGCGTTCCCTGAAGAGATTGGTCATGTGTTCACCTGTATGAAGCACCACATGTTAACCTGTATGAAGCACTGTTCACCTGCATGAAGCACTGTTCGCCTGCATGAAGCACTGTTCACCTGCATGAAGCACTGTTCACCTGTATGAAGCACTGTTCACCTGCATGAAGCACTGTTCACCTGTATGAAGCACTACATGTTCACCTGCATGAAGCACTGTTCACCTGTATGAAGCACTGTTCACCTGTATGAAGCACTGTTCACCTGTATGCAGCACAACATGTTCACCTGCATGAAGCACTGTTCACCTGTATGCAGCACAACATGTTCACCTGTAATATCCATGGTGTAGAGCGCGGCCCGCCCAGCTGAAGGTCTCTCTCACCCTGTGGTCGGGGGTGGTGGAGGCGACGGCTGACAGCCCGTTGTGGGTGCTATTGTCTTCCTGGGGATGTGAAACACATTCTTAAATATTTTCAGAACACATTGCAAAGCTTAGGTGTTAAAATCACAGTTTTGTAGACTTTTATAATGTTATGAGGGGACGAGTTGAATACATGAAAGTCTCTGGCCTCCACTAGAGCAGTGATCCACACGTCTCTGGCCTCCACTAGAGCAGTGATCCACACGTCTCTGGCCTCCACTAGAGCAGTGATCCACACGTCTCTGGCCTCCACTAGAGCAGTGATCCACACGTCTCTGGCCTCCACTAGAGCAGTGATTCACGTCTCTGGCCTCCACTAGAGCAGTGAACCACACGTCTCTGGCCTCCACTAGAGCAGTGAACCACACGTCTCTGGCCTCCACTAGAGCAGTGATCCACACGTCTCTGGCCTCCACTAGAGCAGTGATCCACACGTCTCTGGCCTCCACTAGAGCAGTGATCCACACGTGTCTGGCCTCCACTAGAGCAGTGATCCACACGTCTCTGGCCTCCACTAGAGCAGTGATCCACACGTCTCTGGCCTCCACTAGAGCAGTGATCCACACGTCTCTGGCCTCCACTAGAGCAGTGATCCACACGTCTCTGGCCTCCACTAGAGCAGTGATCCACACGTCTCTGGCCTCCACTAGAGCAGTGATCCACACGTCTCTGGCCTCCACTAGAGCAGTGATCCACACGTCTCTGGCCTCCACTAGAGCAGTGATCCACACGTCTCTGGCCTCCACTAGAGCAGTGATCCACACGTCTCTGGCCTCCACTAGAGCAGTGATCCACACGTCTCTGGCCTCCACTAGAGCAGTGATCCACACGTCTCTGGCCTCCACTAGAGCAGTGATCCACACGTCTCTGGCCTCCACTAGAGCAGTGATCCACACGTCTCTGGCCTCCACTAGAACAGTGATCCACAACCTTTCTGGCCTCCACTAGAGCAGTGATCCACACGTCTCTGGCCTCCACTAGAGCAGTGATCCACACGTCTCTGGCCTCCACTAGAGCAGTGATCCACACGTCTCTGGCCTCCACTAGAGCAGTGATCCTCAAGTCTCTGGCCTCCACTAGAGCAGTGATCCACACGTCTCTGGCCTCCACTAGAGCAGTGATCCTCAAGTCTCTGGTCTCCACTAGAGCAGTGATCCACACGTCTCTGGCCTCCACTAGAGCAGTGATCCACAACCTTTCTGGCCTCCACTAGAGCAGTGATCCACACGTCTCTGGCCTCCACTAGAGCAGTGATCCACACGTCTCTGGCCTCCACTAGAGCAGTGATCCACACGTCTCTGGCCTCCACTAGAACAGTGATCCACAACCTTTCTGGCCTCCACTAGAGCAGTGATTCACACGTCTCTGGCCTCCACTAGAGCAGTGATTCACACGTCTCTGGCCTCCACTAGAGCAGTGATCCACACGTCTCTGGCCTCCACTAGAGCAGTGATCCACACGTCTTTGGCCTCCACTAGAGCAGTGATCCACACGTCTCTGGCCTCCACTAGAGCAGTGATCCACACGTCTCTGGCCTCCACTAGAGCAGTGATCCACGTCTCTGGCCTCCACTAGAGCAGTGATCCACGTCTCTGGCCTCCACTAGAGCAGTGATCCACACGTCTCTGGCCTCCACTAGAGCAGTGATCCACACGTCTCTGGCCTCCACTAGAGCAGTGATCCACACGTCTCTGGCCTCCACTAGAGCAGTGATCCTCAAGTCTCTGGCCTCCACTAGAGCAGTGATCCACACGTCTCTGGCCTCCACTAGAGCAGTGATCCACACGTCTCTGGCCTCCACTAGAGCAGTGATCCACACGTCTCTGGCCTCCACTAGAGCAGTGATCCACGTCTCTGGCCTCCACTAGAGCAGTGATCCACACGTCTCTGGCCTCCACTAGAGCAGTGATCCACACGTCTCTGGCCTCCACTAGAGCAGTGATCCACACGTCTCTGGCCTCCACTAGAGCAGTGATCCTCAAGTCTCTGGCCTCCACTAGAGCAGTGATCCACACGTCTCTGGCCTCCACTAGAGCAGTGATCCACACGTCTCTGGCCTCCACTAGAGCAGTGATCCACACGTCTCTGGCCTCCACTAGAGCAGTGATCCTCAAGTCTCTGGCCTCCACTAGAGCAGTGATCCACACGTCTCTGGCCTCCACTAGAGCAGTGATCCTCAAGTCTCTGGCCTCCACTAGAGCAGTGATCCACACGTCTCTGGCCTCCACTAGAGCAGTAATCCACACGTCTCTGGCCTCCACTAGAGCAGTGATCCACAACCTTTCTGGCCTCCACTAGAGCAGTGATCCACACGTCTCTGGCCTCCACTAGAGCAGTGATCCACACGTCTCTGGCCTCCACTAGAGCAGTGATCCACACGTCTCTGGCCTCCACTAGAGCAGTGATCCACACGTCTCTGGCCTCCACTAGAGCAGTGATCCACACGTCTCTGGCCTCCACTAGAGCAGTGATCCACACGTCTCTGGCCTCCACTAGAGCAGTGATCCACACGTCTCTGGCCTCCACTAGAGCAGTGATCCACACGTCTCTGGCCTCCACTAGAGCAGTGATCCACACGTCTCTGGCCTCCACTAGAGCAGTGATCCACACGTCTCTGGCCTCCACTAGAGCAGTGATCCACACGTCTCTGGCCTCCACTAGAGCAGTGATCCACACGTCTCTGGCCTCCACTAGAACAGTGATCCACAACCTTTCTGGCCTCCACTAGAGCAGTGATCCACACGTCTCTGGCCTCCACTAGAGCAGTGATCCACACGTCTCTGGCCTCCACTAGAGCAGTGATCCACACGTCTCTGGCCTCCACTAGAGCAGTGATCCTCAAGTCTCTGGCCTCCACTAGAGCAGTGATCCACACGTCTCTGGCCTCCACTAGAGCAGTGATCCTCAAGTCTCTGGCCTCCACTAGAGCAGTGATCCACACGTCTCTGGCCTCCACTAGAGCAGTGATCCACAACCTTTCTGGCCTCCACTAGAGCAGTGATCCACACGTCTCTGGCCTCCACTAGAGCAGTGATCCACACGTCTCTGGCCTCCACTAGAGCAGTGATCCACACGTCTCTGGCCTCCACTAGAGCAGTGATCCACACGTCTCTGGCCTCCACTAGAACAGTGATCCACAACCTTTCTGGCCTCCACTAGAGCAGTGATTCACACGTCTCTGGCCTCCACTAGAGCAGTGATTCACACGTCTCTGGCCTCCACTAGAGCAGTGATCCACACGTCTCTGGCCTCCACTAGAGCAGTGATCCACACGTCTTTGGCCTCCACTAGAGCAGTGATCCACACGTCTCTGGCCTCCACTAGAGCAGTGATCCACACGTCTCTGGCCTCCACTAGAGCAGTGATCCACGTCTCTGGCCTCCACTAGAGCAGTGATCCACGTCTCTGGCCTCCACTAGAGCAGTGATCCACACGTCTCTGGCCTCCACTAGAGCAGTGATCCACACGTCTCTGGCCTCCACTAGAGCAGTGATCCACACGTCTCTGGCCTCCACTAGAGCAGTGATCCTCAAGTCTCTGGCCTCCACTAGAGCAGTGATCCACACGTCTCTGGCCTCCACTAGAGCAGTGATCCACACGTCTCTGGCCTCCACTAGAGCAGTGATCCACACGTCTCTGGCCTCCACTAGAGCAGTGATCCACACGTCTCTGGCCTCCACTAGAGCAGTGATCCACACGTCTCTGGCCTCCACTAGAGCAGTGATCCACACGTCTCTGGCCTCCACTAGAGCAGTAATCCACACGTCTCTGGCCTCCACTAGAGCAGTGATCCTCAAGTCTCTGGCCTCCACTAGAGCAGTGATCCACACGTCTCTGGCCTCCACTAGAGCAGTGATCCACACGTCTCTGGCCTCCACTAGAGCAGTGATCCACACGTCTCTGGCCTCCACTAGAGCAGTGATCCTCAAGTCTCTGGCCTCCACTAGAGCAGTGATCCACACGTCTCTGGCCTCCACTAGAGCAGTGATCCTCAAGTCTCTGGCCTCCACTAGAGCAGTGATCCACACGTCTCTGGCCTCCACGAGAGCAGTAATCCACACGTCTCTGGCCTCCACTAGAGCAGTGATCCACAACCTTTCTGGCCTCCACTAGAGCAGTGATCCACACGTCTCTGGCCTCCACTAGAGCAGTGATCCACACGTCTCTGGCCTCCACTAGAGCAGTGATCCACACGTCTCTGGCCTCTACTAGAGCAGTGATCCACACGTCTCTGGCCTCTACTAGAGCAGTGATCCACACGTCTCTGGCCTCCACTAGAGCAGTGATCCACACGTCTCTGGCCTCCACTAGAGCAGTGATCCACACGTCTCTGGCCTCCACTAGAGCAGTGATCCACACGTCTCTGGCCTCACCTCACACTGTGGTGTGGTAGTGTGGTGTGGTAGTGTGGTATGGTTGTGTGGTGTGGTTGCATGGTGTGGTAGTGTGGTGTGGTTGCATGGTGTGGTAGTGTGGTGTGGTTGCATGGTGTGATTGCATGGTGTGGTAGTGTGGTGTGGTAGTGTGGTGTGGTAGTGTGGTGTGGTAGTGTGGTGTGGTTGCATGGTGTGGTAGTGTGGTGTGGTTGCATGGTGTGGTAGTGTGGTGTGGTAGTGTGGTGTGGTAGTGTGGTGTGGTAGTGTGGTGTGGTTGCATGGTGTGGTTGCATGGTGTGGTAGTGTGGTGTGGTAGTGTGGTGTGGTAGTGTGGTGTGGTTGCATGGTGTGGTAGTGTGGTGTGGTTGGATTGTGTGGTAGTGTGGTGTGGTTGCATGGTGTGGTAGTGTGGTGTGGTTGCATGGTGTGGTAGTGTGGTGTGGTTGCATGGTGTGGTAGTGTGGTTGCATGGTGTGGTTGCATGGTGTGGTAGTGTGGTGTGGTAGTGTGGTGTGGTAGTGTGGTGTGGTTGCATGGTGTGGTAGTGTGGTGTGGTTGCATGGTGTGGTAGTGTGGTGTGGTAGTGTGGTGTGGTTGCATGGTGTGGTAGTGTGGTGTGGTAGTGTTGTGTGGTTGCATGGTGTG